AAGGAAATTATCTTGGTAAGGCCATATATAGCTGCTAGTTTGCTTAAAAAGTTACTATCTTGATAAGGTCATATATATTTGAGTTTGCTTATTTTTTTTTCTAGCTTTTAAATTTGAACTGCATCAATTACGTTTTAGAGAATTTTAAGTTTGGACAACTTTTTGGACTATAAAGGAGTAGGACATAACATTGAGATGCTTTGTACTAAAACTCTGGATTTACTCATTTGAAGTAGTTTATTTCTGGAAAATTGGTTTCAAAATAAGTGGTTTTAATCATTCAAAATCATGAATGAAGTAGCTTATTGATAGAAGGCAAAAAGATCAGATTAATTGTACAGGTCTCAATGTATCCCTCAGCCGAACTAGACAAATAGTTGTATAAACGTACTCAAACTTTTTAACTAGCTAGTGTCCTACTCAAACTCGTATATGTAGATACATATGGTAGGAAACTAATGTGGAGACTGTTGAATACAATAACATCAGCTTCACAGTTTATTATGTTGGTGGCCAGGACAAGATTCGTCCATTATGGTGGAACTATTTTCTTAATACACAGGGCCTCATCTTTGTCGTTGATAGCAACGATAGGGACCGTGTCGTGGAGGCAAGAGATGAGTTGCATAGGATGCTGAATGAGGATGAGCTTAGATATGCAATGCTACTGGTGTTTGCCAACAAACAAGATCTTCCTAATGCTATGAACGCTGCCGAGATCACAGACAAGCTTGGTATCCATTCTCTACGGCAACGCCACTGGTACATCCAGAGCACCTGTGCAACTTCAGGAGAGCGGCTTTATTATTTTTAGAGATTGATTTTTTATTTTAAGTTTTTAACATAAGTTAATTAATTGCTTATGTGTATTTTCAGTTTACAAATATCAAAGGGGCAGAATCATTTCTTTATGGATTGATGATATATAATTTCATTGAATAGATCTCTAGAGTTTTAATTCTGTTCTAACTTCCACATGCTTGGTTAAACAATTTAATGGATATATTTTTATATTCAAATGTGTTCACATAAGTTGACTAGTCTATTACTTGTTTTTGGATGGCACCAACAAAATGAAAAATTGCAGGCCTGCTTTCTCAAACCAGGGGAAGAAGAACGTAGCGAATGAACAATGACTACAATAAAAGAGTCATTCAAAGAGTCGTTGTTCCTGATTATAGCTATATTCTCAGCATCTAAAAGGTCAATTACTAACTAATGTAATCTAATCTCTATACGATGTTTTATCTTCTCTTTTCCAACTAATTTCTTTCTTGTTGAATCCTTGCTTTTTCCCTTAATTTGAAATTCTTGTCAACAATACGATATAGTACTCTCTTACTACAAAAGTAATGATATTTTGATTCATGTTGACACTTAACCACTTACAAACTGCTTTTCAATTTGTATCTGGTATATTTATTTATAAAATCTTATTAAGGCCACTGAAAGTTAGGGCCTTTTAGGTATCAACAAAGTCTTGGAGGAACTATATAGCAATTGGTAGTTGTACTCTAAATTTTACACTTCGTACTCTCTTACAATTATGTCATGAGTTTGACTTCCCCCGTTACAAGAAGCTTACAATTATGTCATGAGTTTGACTTCCCCCGTTACAAGAAGCCATAACCTTTCCCCTTACTCTGTCACCATCAACTTTCAATTCATTTGCAAACAATCTCTAGTTGCAATTTAAAAATATCATTTATTTTCAGGTTTTCACCCTTCTACTTTCTATGCATAGTTCTTAGCCAACAATCAAAACATCGTTATGGATCGGAAGCTGCTCTTTCGTCTTTCCTCCTAGCTTTTCTTCAAGTAAGAGCGCTAATTTTTATTTATTTATTAATTTGATTTAGTTAAGGCTATAAACGATTATGTTGGGAAATAATTTTTTTAAATGTGTAGAAATTTCATCTTCTTTGAGAATGTTAAATGTGTAGAAATTTTTCATTGTCATTTTAGATTAGGTTCAGTTCTGATTTTAAATGTCTATTCCCGGGTTAGGCCTAGTCCTCCTATCTGATTCCAGGCTGAGCAGTGGAGGTGATCTTTCATACTCCCATATTCTTACTTTCATATTACTGAACTAGATCCTAAATGTTTAGTACTGTCCAAACTTTTAGCACTGTCAAATTTTGAAATGAGATGATAGTGAACCCATTCCCAAAATGCAAAATCTAGAAATTCTTTACAGATGAGTTTGAAACAACAAAAGTGAAAAGCCAAAAAAGAAAATGTAAGAGATAAGTTTAAGACAAAAAAAGTTTAAGACAAAAACATAACCATATAATGCAGAACATCAAATTTGTGCATGTTATAGGTACATAGATAATAGATGTCTAGTACTGTAGTAGGGCTAGTCTGCTAGACAATTCTATATGCCTAGCAGCTAGTGAGTCCAATCAGTATTATAAAGAATAGTTAAAATAGATAGGTTACTATCAGAAAATAATACTTCGTAGCATCAGTAGTAAAAATAAAACTATAAAAAGTATATGTGATCAAACAGCCTGCTCAGATATTAGTAAAAGTGTGTTAGAGTTAGCTTAGATTGATTCTATCAAATAAATCACGAAACGTTATGTATCAAATTATTTACCCAGATTCATTTCAATCCAAAACGAGCAAAAACTTGCTACTACAATTATTTCAGGTGGCTCTAGACCTCTTATGGGAGATGCATTAGTAATTATGGGAACACTTTTCTTCGCATTGAGTAATGTTGGTGAGGTTAGTGAATCCAACTCCTCTTGTTTGCCTTATAATTATAGGGAAATATTAGTGTTTTGATGACTATTTAAAGCCTCAAACCAGTCTATGAGACATGAGTTTTGTGTGAAGAAGAAAGATCTGATTGTTGTGTTAAAATGCTTTTCTTGGCTTTCTTTTTCCAGATGACAAGTGTACCAGTGATCTAGGAGCTGGAGAAGTTGCAGTTGCCTCTTCATTGGCCAAAATAGTTGCCTCTGTAATGACAAGTGTACCATTGAGCTTTTTTTTCTTCTTTATTATCTTTTATTGTGGGGTATGCCCCATTGAATAATGTAGTATGTACATTCACATGTACGAGGGAATTTTAGATATAATAAAAAATGTTTGAATTTTTTATTAGTTTCTTTATTATCTTTTATTTATTAGTATTAAATTATGTGCATGTGTGTATTGCAATCAATGTATCATGTGTATGCTTTCATAGTACTAGTGTGTCATTGAGTTTTGTGATACCGTAGTGTCATTGAGTTTTCTGATGTCATAGTGTCATTGAGTTTTGTGATATCGTGGTGTCATTAAGTTTTGTGATACCATAGTGTCATAATTTGGTGATACGATAGTGTCACAATTTAGTGACACTTTTAGTGACACTTAAAAAGTGTCACTATTCTTCACTTTCATTGACACTTTTTTAGTGTCACAGAAGCTTTCAGTGACACTAATTTGGTGTCACTGTAAGACATTTTTCTAGTAGTGAAAAATACAATATTACTCATCATGTTTATGTAAAAATATAGATAAAAATGCAGTTTCTTTTGTCTCCGACTATTTCCCGACTAGGCGCCCGACTAGTCGCTGAGCTAGCGCCTAGCGCCTTTTAGAACATTGAGTTGAAGTAATAAGCCATTCATTAAACCCTAAGCTAGACCACACAGAATAGACCAGATTGAAACAGACCAGACTTAAACAAACCAGATTTCGACAGTTATAAATACATTTCTCAGACTCACATGTTTCTTGTAAATACTACCCTTGAAAGTGATGTGAAAGGAAGGCAATTACACATTTATTAAACCCTAAGCTAATTCAAATATATCCCACTGTTTATCATCTTATATATTATTAGCTCAATCTCTCAGGAAATACAATAAGTTTGGATTCCTATTACCCATCATTTGGTGCTTACATTGAAAGATTGGAGCAATAATCAAGCGAGATCTCCCCCAAAATTCCAAAAATTTACCCTGACATTGTAAAATCCAACGAAACTAGTGTGAAATTTCAGCAATTTGAGCTAAATTCAACATGCACCACGTCTTTTTTCAGTATACTTTTACCACAATGCATAATTTCCAATGGAGGAATCTTGCACAGATACATTCATTAGTTATACAACCACATTGCAATCAAGTAATTACAAGATTAATGACGGATAAAAATTAAATAAATTAAAGGTTAGGGGACGAAATTTGCAAATTTCACTTCAATTCTTTATGCCTAACGGCTACTACTACCATTCATTAATTATCTCTATGTAACACTCCTAAGTTCTTCCCGGGCTTTAAATTCCCTGCATGATCATATTTGGATAAATAAACCACAGGCTAATGAGATTGATTGATCATTCAGCGTGGAGTACTGTGACTAATTCTTTTGATGGATATATATACGAATATAATATTTGAACTTTTGGCTATAGGTCAACCGTATAATTTCAAAATCTTGAACTGCTTTTTCTTTTTGGTCGATTAGCCATATCTTTATGTTTTTAAAAGAAAAAATTCCATTAATATTACTTCTAGAAAAATGATGGACAAAGTCATGAACACAAATATGACTTAGTAACTTTTAATGACTATAATTGTGTTCAATATTTCTATCGTAGTCACTATACTGTAGTAATTTAACTTTGAACACAATTAGAGTCACTAAAAGTTATCAAGTCACATTTTTGTTCACTACTTTCTAAAGAGTAATATTAGTGAAATTTATAGTAATTTATAGTTTCTAGGTCATATTTTTGTCTATGACATTTTATTAGTAACATTTTAGGGAAAAACTCTTTTTAAAACTCCGTTCAATTAACCGAAAAAACACGTACACTTTTTTCAGTTTAGAAATCAGTTACACTTTTTATATCCACCCCTATTTTCAACATGCTTTTAATTTATATCCACCCCTATTTTCAATATACTTTTTAATTTATATCCACCCCCACTTTCAACATACTTTTAATTTGTTAATGAAGAACAACACATCATTATAAACAATATTTTTAAAACACTCCCAATTAAAAGATCTACCTGCATGTACCTGGTAACACATAGGACATGTTCATGGGCAGGGCAACACATAGAACAACCACATACAACCATGAACTACATCCTATCCTCCGTCTCTTTTTAATCGCAACATGTTGAATTTTACACTATTCACATGTCCTACTTTGACTACATTTTATGTTATTATTTTATGAAAATTATTTTTTTAAATTATATTGTTCAATCCATCTCATTACAAATTTTCAAAATCTAATTTTTAATTATTTTTTACTAATAGAGATTGGGATATAATTACGGTCAAAGATGTACGTTGGCAAGTGTGAAATGTTGACCGTTGCAACTAAAAAAGAACGGAGGAAGTATATATTTACACTTTTATTTAATTAATTCTAATTAACTACCTGATTCAACTCCTAATTAAACGACCAAATGCTCTTAATAATTAATTAAGCGGCAGTGCAAAGTGCTGGGTTCTGCTTTCCAGTGAAGGTGGGCTTCACATTGGTACACGTGGATGCACCCCACTTCAAGTCTATATCGCCTACCTCAACCCCCTCGCATGGCACCCCACTGCTGCATGCAAAGATCACCGCATTCTCAGTCCCAGAAGTTCCTGTTATGCCCTTATAGCTCACTTTGCTGATCTTCACCTGTGATGGCTTTTGCTTGGTGCATTGGTTATTGGGGCAGTACTCTTGGTCGATCACAATCGGGTTTTGGACGCCGTCCATCGTTAAGTCCGTGTAGTGGATATCCGTGACCACTCCCGGGTGCGAATCGGGCCACGTTTTTATTCTCACGCCGTTGTCTGTCTTGATGAAGTTGCACTTCTCCACGAACACGCCTTTCACGGGTGACTCGCCGGGAGTCTTTCCGAGACTCCCGACGCTGATGCCGTGACCGGGCCCGCATGTCACGCCCGTGATGTGAAGGTTCTCTGTCCCGTCTCCGATTGAGATGCAATCGTCTCCTGTTCCTATGGTGCTGTCTTTAACGTTAACGTCCACTATTTTCGCAATGTGGATTCCGTCTGTGTTGTGGCTGTCCCCCGGGGCTTTGATGGTGACGTGGTCGAAAGTTAAGTTCTTACCGCCCAGAACGTTAATGTGGAATAACTTGCTGTCTAGAGAAGTTATGTCCCGGATCAATGAGTTCGTCAAGAAATTCAAACTCAGATTCTGCATCAACCATCCAGAAACGAATATGGTAAAAGGTCTTTCATACTATAATTAAAAAAAAAAGAGAGAGAGAGAGAAATTCCCTAATTTAGAATAAAACATGTAGAATTTTCTTTGTGTTATTCTCAAAATATAACTTATTCACTCATATTTTAGTTGGAACTTGTAAAAGAAGTAGCTAAAATCTTATGGAGTATACAAGTATTGACTATTATTTTAGTAACAGTTTAATATGGAGTAGTTTATATTTTGGGAAAGTAGAACAATATGTTATTCATTTCTCTAAACCCCGTTTATGAGGCTGATTTAGGATAAAGTTAGTTCATTTGACAAAGTTTAAGCTAGTTAGTTTATAATTTACCACTTCGGTGATGTGAATATATAATAGAGCAATGTTTGGTGTACACATTTTCTACAAGGCGGCTTCTGAACGAATTGTCTATAAAAACAGACAACTAGGAGATATATACCATATGAGTACAAAAAGTGTGTACCAACAATATTGTGCTATATAATAACATCTCCAGAAAGACTTGGGCTTACATTAGGAAGTTTATTGCAGGCTCCAGTTTTCTTGCAATCATTTTGGTCCCATGATTTGGCTCCTTGGCCATCAAGAACTCCAGTGCCGGAGAGAGTGAATTGGTCGACGTTATTGATGGTGAGCCATTCCTTGTTGCTGTCAAGCGTGGCGGGGTCAGCCGGAGCCTTTAAGGTGGCGTCGATTCGGAGCTCAATTGGGCCTTTGCATGGCCCAACAAGCACTACTTGGGTCATTGGATACTCTCCTTTTGGGATCACAATGGTGCTTCCTGTTGTGGCTGCACATGCTTCCTTCCATGCGCTCAATAAACCCTGTCACATTGTTTTATTTTCATGACAATTTGTCAAATTTTCAATTAACAAAATGAGAAAATTGAGAAAATGAGAAAATGTTCATGACAATCCTGTCACATTGTTTTTAATCTTTTGTAAATTTCAACACACTCTTGTCATGATTCTGGTAAAGCCACGCCATGCCAAAAGTGTGGACTAGGTTAAATTAGTGTGTGCTAAAGATGAAAAATAAAAATATGTCCTCATAAAATGTCACAGTTAAGTGTTGTTTTGGTTGAAAATGCACTTCTTGAAATTGAATATGTATATTTGAAATAAATTTAAAAATATTGACTTACCGGACCGACATCTGCATTGGGTTTTGCTGCAACATTTATGACAGCACTCTCTGCATGAAGTACCAACAAGAATATTGCAAATGTGAAGACAATTAGACAAATGGAAAACTTCATCTTATATTATCTTTTACTTTCAAGCGTTTTTGTGTTTGTAATCTTTGTATATTGTGATATCTAAAAGCAAGAGGCATTTATAGTGTTTGCAGATGAAATATCTCTAACGAAAATAGTGAATTCCCTTCTAATGCTCCTATTCTTTTGCAATTCTTTAGGGAACTATGCGGTTTTATTTGCTCACCTATTTCATTGTTTATTATCCGTTTTGACTTTTCTTGTGTTGTGCCAATCTATTTGTACTTTTATTAACTAATTATTGAATTAAAACGTGAGAGAAATACTAGATTGTATCATGATGATAAGATACAATCAAGTTAGTTTTCAATACGATACTCCGTATTTTTTCTCAAATAATTGTGAAATGCTAATATTTGAGACATGCAATTCATTTTCATTGATTTCGCCGAACATGATTATTTTTCAAAGCATATCATTTTCAAAAATAACACTATGGAATGTAATGAAGTTAGGCAGTTAGCTATAGTAATGGGTGACCAAGTCCGACAAGGTCCTATTACTCAAGAGTTGTTCTATAATACTAAAACAAAATTCGATGATATAGTTAATATATATTATTGCTACCAAAATATCATGACAGTCACTTTACACAAAAATGAAATATCAACATGATCATTAAAATCATTATTTAAAATACTGTTTGAATGAGGATTGTTTTCATCTCGTTTCATTTTATTATGTTATATCCATAACAATTAAACGAGCTAAAATTTCTGACTTTGCAAATTGCAAGTGAATATGACCAAGTATATAAGTATATTGAAGAGATTAAAGAGGAGATATTGGAGACTCGGACTAACTGTTTATTTTCACATCTTTCCAATTAGGGGTGGACTGGGCCAGTTCAGCCTGACCCGGGACCCGGCCCGGACCGTTACTGTGCAGGTCCGGCCCGACCCATCCGGCCGGGACCAGGACCGGGATTGGGGCCTGAACCGGTGGCTTAAAGAGGCGTGCTCTAAAGGTGGTTGAATTGCTTTATAACTAATAAAATTGCTGGCTTTGCTTTCAATGTAGCCACATCTTTCCAATGCTTTGCTTTCAATTTTTCTAGATAGATAAAGAGGAGATTAAGATTAAAAAGACACCCTGCCCGACCGCATTAAACTAAAAAGACTTTGTTGGGATTTGAACTAGCCAATCTGGACATCCAGTTTCCATTTTATTTGTAGTGGTACCACCTTTAGCCCAACTCAATCCATGGCTCCGGACTCTGGTCCATCCGTCCATAACGACTGGCCAGTTCCACTAAAGACTCTAGAGAGCTTCACACAGTCGGTTTCGGAATCTGAACTAGAACCGTCATCCTTAGCATAAGCGCTCATATTACTATTTGCCTTCTGTTTAGACTTTATACCGAGAAGCTCGATTAAAGAGGCTATTTGAAACAATATGTCCAGAGTCCAGACTGACACTGAAAAACCTGAAGTGGTTTAATCCCAATTACCGGAAGCCGCAATAGGAAGAGTAGAGGTAACACAAAGTTAGGGATCAAGCTTGTCGGTAATGAAAAAGAGACCATAGAAAAATATTTTAAGGAAAGGTATATACCCGATGTGTGTGGGGGTACATACCTATTGGCTATTGCAACACATATTACATCAAACCTGGCCACTAAATCCTCCCAAATGAAACTACATTAGATTTTTGCATAATAGCTCTAGGCCTCCATGTCTGGCAAAGATTACAGCAGTCCTAAATTGTTGAACAAAAAAATGACACGTGATTCCTTTTGGTAAAACTTCACTCTCACAATGGTTGGTTATACATGAATCCATATAATGTACATCAGCCCACTTTTGAAGGGAAAAGCAATCAGTGATATATATCTTCATGTAATGCCCAGGAAAATTGATAATCTCCCAATCAGCACAAGCCGCATTGCATTTGAATAAAACAATTCAATAATTGCACTAAAAATTACAAAACAGCAAACTGGAAAATTACAAAACATGCTTCTCTGCAGTGAAATGGCTATGGTGAAAGCAACAAAATCTCACTACTCTTACAAGCCTTGTGGGAAGTTGTTGATTTGTCCTTCCTCTAAAACATCTTTGTTATTCGCCTTGTAACATATCCTTATCCGCATAACAAGGGATTTCTGAAAAAGGAAAAGTAGAGATTATGTGGTTATCAAAAAATAAGTACTACTAACAAGTCGCTGATAGCAAAATGCATGCTTGAAAAAAAAGTGATCTGAGACCATCATTGTACATGAAGAGCATGTGCATACATGCTGACTGAATTTCCTCTCCACTCATAGGTGGGTTGTGGTAGACCATAAATACATGTACTGTGTAATCTTTGTGTAAATTTCCATCACCTATACGGTCAACTACATTTTATTCCGTCTTACTCCCTAAGCTTTACTATCTTTATCGCATCTTTCTTTTTCACTCATCCAACTAATTTTGTTAGATACCATATTTTGTAATATTTGTATGGTTCAAAATCATTCATGCTTTACAAATTCATTATCAACCCCCCATAAATTCAATTTTGAACATGTGTGTCCCTTTCTGACGTCCCCAAAAAAGTGGGACGGAGAGAATATCAAACTAATTCCCTCGGTCCCACTATACTTTATCGGCTTTCCTTCTTTTATTTAAAAACTGTCACTTTCATTATATAGTCACAAATGTGTTGTTAATATTATTCCTCTCTTCGGCACAGACCTCGGCCAGACATTTTTACTTTCTTATTCTGTGTGTTGGTCTCCTGACCAAGTTTAACTGGACAAGGTCAGTAGTATCGTAAGAAATATGAATGATTGGACACCATGATACTAATTGCTTTGTGAGCAATGCATATAAAACAATAGAGTTGAGAGTAATCCAATCATCAAACTACAAAATAAAATAATTACTTCAAATAAATTTAAGTGACATGCCCTCTTATGCTCCAGCATATTCAGTTAAAGAAATATCAAGATGGAAAAAATAAAAAGTACATGCCTTGCCGTGTTGACTGTTTGTGACTCTTAAGTTCTGTGTAATTGATCCGTTATGACTTGGAGGGAGTGTGTTGCTGCTGGCTGGATCCAAATGTAGTTGAAGAAACTATAGAAAAAAGAAGATATCAAAACTACCATGATACAAGAGGTGCATGAAATTGAATACATAGATTACACATGAGTTTAAATCACTGCATCACGTAGCATTATCGTCTTTATGTCTTGAGATACTGAGAGTATGCTCACAAAGAAACATTTTTAAACATTTTAAGCACTTTGCAACAAAAGAGTGCATCCATCAATTTCATGTTTTTCAATCAATTTCATAAAATGTGTCAATTTTTGCAACTCAACGAGAGGTAACAAACCGTTGATAAATCAGAACGTTTGCCGATTATTCATGTCTATTGCATCCCAATGCAAGCATGTGACAGGAATAGAAAAAATTGAAGTCCCAATTTTAAATGAGACTAGAAATGGCATCACAAATAATCAAATCATATGCTAAAATGTATGCAAACAAATAATCATGTGCACCTTTGGGACTGCAGCCTGGAAGATGAAGTCTGTGAATACATTTTGCGTTGTGTTAGTAAAAATTGCCTTAATCACTGTTGTTTGTGGATTCTCTGGATTCTTTGAGAAGTCGAACGTTAACTTTAAGGAACTGCTCTCATAAGCAATAATTTGTGGATATTGCGGATCCTTGCTTTCTGCCACATAAAGGCAGTCTATCAATATATTAGAACATAGGGCTTGTTGAGAACGTACATTTCCAGATTCTTTTTTGTTTATTTCAGTTGACTTTTAAAGTTCAATCATGGGTGGGAACTTTGAACAAGTTGCTTTTATTAGTTTTCGGCTGTTTCTGACATACTGAAAATTTGTAGCTCATGACCATTTTTCAACAGCTTAGTTCTTCTTGCGGTTGTTTTCAGCTATTTTATTATCAAATCCAAGATGATTCAATTTTTTAAGCCACATTTCAGCAAATTTTTCCAAAACAAAAAATGATTCTTCATTTTGAGTATAATTTATAATCAGTACTAACAACAATTGATTATACAAATAATCAACTAATGAATTTACTGAAATCATATAAATTTTCAGCACACTTTAAACCAGTAGCTAAACTAAGTTCAAGCACTAACGAAAAATGTACCGATAGATGGACTCGAAGAGATCCCATCCAACAAATCCATCATGGGAGAATTTATAGCAGGTAACGAAGTTTGTGCCAAAGGCGAGGACAATCTATCCAATAGGTCTACCGAATTTTTATTGTTCCCTTCAGTGGTAAGTGCCTGAGGCGGAGATGGACCACTATTTTGAGCCAGAGGAGTTCCGATGGACAAGAGATCAAGCAGGACATCAGTCCCACTCTTTTGTTCGTGATTTAAACCTGAGGAAATTAGAGTGATAAATTGTTATTGCTTCATATTAGTTCTAGGTTGAGCAGGTACCATACTGCCAAAGCCAGTTCATGTCCCGTTTTCAAGAGAAAAAACGTCTACTAATACTAGTATAAAAGAGCAACTGATATGTGCTCATACTTCATAGTGCTCCAACAAAAATTTTGTTAGTGGTAGTTCAGGGTGAACTTGACCTTCCCCCCTCCAAAAAAAAGTGCAGGGATATTTTTTTACTTTTTTTTGGGGGGGGGGGGGGCTTGAACTACTCTCCTAATTTTTTGTAACCAAATTGGTGAAGGAACATTTGACCTCCATTCCCCTCCAATAATCCCAAACTAGACACACTCTTAGTCTCTTACAAGACAAACCTGGTTGTGTTGCAGCTGGTGACAAATCAATTCCAAGAAGATCTTGAAGGAAGTCCCCACCAGAAGAACTAGGTGCTGGGACATCGTCTGAACCAAGATCAAGTAAATCAAGAAGAGGAGCAGACACTGGTTTGTCAACTCCATTCGGAACTTTAACAGATGGTCCTTGTGAAGTTGAAACAGCTCCTGGCACAGAACCAGCCCTCCTTCCACTATAGGTGGCTTCATCTAAAACTGGCATTCTTTCTAATAACGTGGGCCTGAAAATGAGCATCCGATATGTTTCACAGGTAAAGGCGGCAACTACCAGCTTTAATAAATAAAAAAGCAGAGTTTCTTAAGATAT